AGCTCAACGTGGTGACGTAGCCCATTCTTAGGTGAACATTCGGGCCTACGGGCGAAAAATCATCGTGTTCTTTTTAATTTCTGTGATTTTACTTCGAGTATTGGGACTGTTAATACCAACATGGTCGAAGAATTCTCATTAGAATTAGAATACAATTCAGATATTTAAAATTGGAGCTGGTAATCTATTGTGGATTATGCATGGAAGTTGACTTGGAATAAGCAGAACATAATCAATAGGAAAACTAATTAGATAATGCAAAGTGTAATTTTGGGTTCTAAGACCACCTTTTCATCATTAAAGTGACTTGAGGATCACTGTTACAGCCTAGTGTATTATGTTAGTTAAAATCAGGGGCTAAGAAAGTATTGGTTTCTATTTTTTCCTTCTCTACCTGGTAAAACTATACCAGCATTACTAATAATTGTTTTCTCTAGGGTTAAAGAAGAGGCAATGGTTTAACTTGGCTACAAAGCCCTGTTGCCATGTATAATGTTATTCCAATTAACATGTACAACTGGAATTATATACATTAAAGCATGTTGGTAGCTAACCATGTTATCATCCTAATAATAATTTTATTATGGAAAACAAGTTCCAAGAGTTAGGTATTATAAGATTGAGATCACAAAGATTACGCTTATTGTTATATTTATCCATATGTGTATATTGTATTTTAGGAGATGCTTTTAAGTATAATTGTATCATTACCATGTACACATGAGATATTTATCTATATAATACAAAGAATCTCTAAGCAGGAAAGACATTTAGCTAAAACTTTCACATGGTATTAGAGCCATACCTATAGAAACAGTTGCTGAATCTTCAATTCTTAGTGACGACAACTTTGTTCCAGCGATTTTTTTTTTGCAATTTTCAAGGTCAATCAGTCTCTGGTCGACGTCACGATTTTTGGTGTGACTCTGTCTCAATGAACAAAATTCCGCCTCAGAATTTTCGGCATCTATGGTTGTTCGATGAATTTTTGATGTCTTTGTGGGTGTTTTGATGCGATTTCTAGCATCTATTGAGTAATAGACACAATTTTTCGGCGATCCTCTGCTTGTAATCAATGCGATTTTAGCGTCACTGTGTGCTCGATGATTTTAGCATTATTATGGGTTTGCATCTCTGTGGGTACCTATTATGACGTCAAACTTTGGTAGACCGGTTGTTGGATTGTGGGCTGCTTATGTTGGATTCTTGGAATTGTAATTGGGCTAATAATTGTTGGATTGTGGGCTGCTAATTTGTATGGAGTTGGATTCTTGGGTTATCCTAATTAGGACAATAATTGTGTGGGCCTTGGTTAATTTTGGGGTTGCCAACTTGTAGGCTGGTATTTGATGTGGGCTACTTTTATTTTTTTGGTTCGTTTGGTTGACCTCTTTGCAATATAGCATATTCCAGTTGAAGCATTTTCGTTAAATCTATTGGGAAAATTATTCGATATGGGAATTTTAATTTAAAATATTTTTAAAGGGAAAGGAACTTTGGGATCATATTAATGTGACCTCTAAAGTTCCTGACGATGGAAAAGATGTTAGTGCATGGGAAATGAAGAATGCTCATATTATCTCTTGGATCTTGGGGTCTATGGAAGCACACATGGTGAATAATTTACTCTCCTTCACTATTGCAAAGGAGATGTGAGAATACTTAAAGCGGATTTATTATCAAGACAATAATACATGGAGATTTTAGTTGGAATTAGAAATTGCCAACTACACTCGGGGTAATCTTAATATTGAGCAATAATATTCTAGTTTTCTGAACTTATGGGGTAAATACTTTGGCATAGTTTATGATAAGGTCCATGTGACGGCCTTACCAGCTCTACAAGATATTTAGGCGGTTAGCAAGTGGAATTAGTTTTTTATGAAATTAAGACTCAAGTTTGAAGTAATTTGTGCAAGTTTATTAAATCGTGATCTGATTCTTTCATTAGATGTGTGTCTGGTTAAACTTTTACGTTAGGAGCAATGATTGGCTACCTAAGCTCATATTGGAGCAAGATGTTCCTCATGTGATGTGGTCAACGTTGCATATGTTGTCCAAAGACGGGAGAAGGGTAAACCTTAGTATTTTACTGCAAAGGATACGGTCATGTTTCTCGTAACTGTCCTCAGATAGTCTAAAATTACTATAAGCAATCAAGGTATTTCATTAAGGACTATTCCACTTGACCTCTAAAATGGGCATCTCAACCTGATGTTCAAGGTAATACTTCGACAATTTCACAAGCTAGCACCAATCAAAATGTTCTTACCCCAAAAATGGTCCAGCAGATGATTGTCTTGGCCTTCTCTACATTGGGCTTACAAGATAAGGGTTAGATTGTTTCTTCTCCTTGGTTTGTTGATTTAGGGCTATCAAATCATATGACGAGTAGTTTTGACTTTTTGCATAACATTAGACACTATACTAGTAAAATCAACATATTCAGATTTTTAATGGGAGACCCTTTCAATTACTATTGTTAGTGACATTGGAGT